GGGTAACGTTGTATGGGGAGCAGGGTCGGGGGCTCGCCGCGTACCGGGCGCGTAGTGGCCATAGGTGGCGTTGCGCAGCTCCTCCCAACCCACACGCCCGTCGCGGTCCGTGTCGTACGTGTCCCAGGCCGCGCTCACCGAGTCCCGTATGTGCCGCTGCTGGGTGTGCGCGATCCACGCGCGAAGCTCGGCCAGCGATACCCAGCCGTCGCCGTCCCCCGCGCGGTCCATGCGGTCCACGATCCGCCTACGAGCACAAGTCAGTCTCTGGTCCCGCCCCAGGCCCCGCCCCTCGCACGGGGCCACGCCCCCTGGGACACATCGGATCCGCGGGTGAACTGGGGAGGGACGCGTGTCAATTTCGGGACCAAACCCAGCGGAGGACCCTCAGCCTAGGGTCCACCCCCGGGACAAGTCACGCCCTTCCTGAAAACGAGCGGGCCTGCTGGGAGCCCTGCGTGGGAGAGACCTACGACGATGCAGGGCCACCCTCTCCGCGCCGGCCCCGCCCTCGGCCCGCACGTGCTGCACCTCTAGCTGGGCTGAGCTGTGGTGGTGATGGGGAGCGCGGCGTCGCACTGCGCCCCTTGCCAGGGGGGCCCTGTTCCAAGACTGACTTTGAACCCAGACAGCCACGGCCACACCCCCGAGCCCCGGCTGTCTCAGGCCCCAACCCGCCCCATACCCCGCCCCCTTACCAGGCTGCGCGTGTCAATTTCAGGCTCCTATCCCTCCAGCCCTGCCCTGTGCTGCGCCTGGTGGCTTTCTCCTGCCTGCTCCCGGCTGAATCAGGCACTGCCCGAGGACCATCACCCGCAACCCCAGGGGCTCGGTCTCTCTATACCCCTCCCCATGCTCCTCGGGGCTCCTGTGCCCCTCCCCGTCACATGTCAAGCCACTTAGGTTCCATCTCGCCCCTTCTCTCGGGCCACGCTTGTCAGCTCCCCGGCCCTTCTCCTCTCCATGTCAGGCCGGTCCTCGCCCAATCTCTAATTAACAGAGGAGCCCTCCTCCCTGTCACCGTCCCTAGGCGCCCGCGGCCCCCTCCCTAAGGTCGAAAATCTGAGACAGAAAAAAAAAAAAAAAAAGAAAGAAAATCTGAGACAGCAGAGCCCTCTCCAGGCCTGCCTGAGTCACCGCCCCACCTCCCGCACCAGGTGGTCTCTGCTCCGGTCTGTCAAGGGCCGACTCTGTTCCCAGATTCACACCCTTCTCTGAAGTTACTGCTGTTGTTAAGAGCTTGGGCTCCACAGCCAGACATTTTAGGTCCAAATCCAGCCACTTCCTCTTACTGGCTGGGTGACTGTGGGCAAGTGACTTAACCTCTCTTGTGCCTCGGTTACCCCTCTGTAAAATAGAGAGAAAAAATGGTACCTACCCCAAAAGGGCAGCTCTGGGGAATAAATGAGTTTGGCCATGGAAAGCACTTAGGACAGGACAGGCGTGGTGACTCACACCTGTAATCCCAGGCTTGGCAAGCCAAGACGGGCGGATCGCTTGAGATCAGGCCTTCCAGACCAGCCTGGCCCACACAGTGAAACCTCATCTCTATTAAAAACACAAAAATTAGCCGGGCGTGGTGGCCCGAACCTGAAATCCCAGCTACTCCAAGGCTGACACGGGAGAACTGCTTGAATACAGGAGGTGGAGGTTGCAGTGAGCCCAGATAGTATCACTGCACTCCAGCCTGGGCAACAGAGTGAGACTCCGTCTCAAATAATGATGATAATAATAATATAATAGGCCGGGCACGGTGGCTCACGCCTGTAATTTCAGCACTTTGGGAGGCCGAGGTGGGCAGATCACCTGAGGTCAGGAGTTCAAGACCAGCCTAGCCAACATGGTGAAACCTCATATCTACTAAAAATACAAAAATTAACTGTGCGCAGTGGTAGGTGCCTGTAATCTCCACTGCTTGGGAGGCTGAGGCAGGAGAATCGCTTGAACCCAGGAGGTGTAGGTTGCAGTGGGCTGAGATCGTGCCACTGCACTCCGTCCTGGGCAACAAAGTAAGACCTTGTCTCGGCCGGGCGCGGTGGCTCAAGCCTGTAATCCCAGCACTTTGGGAGGCCGAGGCGGGTGGATCACGAGGTCAGGAGATCGAGACTATCCTGGCTAACATGGTGAAACCCCGTCTCTACTAAAAATACAAAAAACTAGCCGGGCGTGGTGGCGGGCGCCTGTAGTCTCAGCTACTTGGGAGGCTGAGGCGGGAGAATGGCGTGAACCCGGGAGGCGGAGCTTGCAGTGAGCCGAGATCACGCCACTGCACTCCAGCCTGGGAGACACAGCGAGACTCCGTCTCACAAAAAAAAAAAAAAAAAAAAAAAAAAAAAAAAGGAAGACCTTGTCTCAAAATAAATAAATAAATAAAAGGGCCAAAGGTCCTCTTCATGCCTCAATTTTAACTTAATTTGCTTTTCCCAAGGAGAGAAGGTAGAATTTCATTTCTCACAAAGAACTGAAGTTCAGTCCACGCCATTTCTCTAACCCCTGTCAATACCCCCGCAACTCTCTCCCAAACCCCACCTCCGAACACGCCCCAACCGCGTGTCTCTCCTACCCCAGACGGGCCTGGCTTTCCTCTGGGGTGAGTTGGTCGAATTCCTTGGCCACTTCCCGTCCCAGGAAAGCCTCATGGTCGTACTGGAAGTTCCCGTGAGAGTCATCATGGGGGGCGTCACTCAGGGGGGCCGCCTGGTGCACCCTCCCCTGGCCATGAGGGCCTGCGTCTGGGACGGTTTCCCCTGGCCCCGTGCCTCAGTAACAACAGAAGCAGCAGAAGCGATGCTCGCCACATCATCGGTCCCTGGGGAGTGGCAAAGGCCAGGGGTCAGGGGTTACAGGTATGAGGACAGACATGGGACAGGAGAATGGCGGGGTGGAGGGGTTACCTAGGACAGGACAGGGAGATGGAAGTTGGCTACAAACTTTGGGGCTCAAAAAGGGCGGGCGATGGGGGAAAAGAGGGCGTGATGCTTAGAGGTAAAGCCACCTATGGGGGGACCGACTCTTCTGACGGAGTCTCAGGGGGTCCCAGACCTGCGAGGGGGAATTTCAGGGAGAGACGTGGCGCACATCCCACGCAAAGTACAGGGCATAGTTGTGGCCAGCCAGAGGTCAGGGAGGCTCCCCGTCATTGCTCCCAGTCCGGACCCTGATCCTCGACCCGAGCCGCCCCGAGCCGCCCTGCCTGGACTGAGGTACCCCCACCCACTCCCTTTACCCAGTCATCCAGCTTCGTTCCGCTCTCCACGCTGGGCTCTGCGTTCCCGCAAAAGTGCCCAATTCGGCCGCTCTCCAGTCAGGCCCCGCCTCCGGCGGCGCAGAGCCCCGCCCCCCGCCCAATGAGCTCGCACGAGCGACTCACGGGGCGGGGCCAACGAGTGCCGGGAAGGCCACAGGCGCCCCTCGCCACGTCCACAAAGGAAACCGCGGCCTGCCCGGGGAAGGCGGGTGGGCGACGCCGCAGTGACGCGGCCGGGGAGAACTACAACTCCTGTCAGTCGTCGCGGCACTCTGCCGTCCACCTCCAGCTGTTCTAGCCCCAACGCCTCACGGGAAATGTATTTTTCCCTCTTTCCCTTTGTCAGGAGGGTTTAAGAAAGAGGTGTACGTCCCAACAGTCCTATACCAAAAAAAAAAAAAAAAGAAAAAAGAAAAGAAAAGAAAGAAAAGAAAAGAAGGCCGGGCGCAGTGGCTCACGCTCACGCCTGTAATCGCAGCACTTTGGGAGACCGAGGCGGGCGGATCACCTGAGGTCGGGAGTTCGAGACCAGCCTGACCAAAATGGAGAAACCCCGTCTCTACTAAACATACAAAATTAGCTGGGTGTGGTGGTGCATGCCTGTAATCCCAACTACTTTGGGAGGCTGAGGCAGGAGAATCGCTTCAACCCAGGAGGCGGAGGTTGTGGTCAGCCGAGATCGCGCCATTGCATTCCAGCCTGGGCAACAAGAGCGAAACTCCATCTCAAAAAAAAAAAAAAAAAGAAAAAAAAAGGAAAAAAAAAAAGGACGAGCCAAATCGAGGGGCTGGAGGAAATACCCCATTTCCTCCAAGAGTGAACAGTGCTCCTCGCTCCTCTTCTGCTCCAGCGATTCAGATGGTCAGACAGTGGCCAAGAATTCCTCAAAATGCCTGGCACGGCAGTTATCCAGTAAACATTTGTAAAAGTTATGAATTAAAAATACATGAGCACAGTAGCTCAACGCCTGTAATCCCAGAGTACAGTAGCTCAACGCCTGTAATCCCAGAACTTTGGGAGGCTGAGGCAGGTGGATCACCTAAGGTCAAGAGTTCCAGACCAGCCTGACCAACATGGTGAAACTCCCGTCTCTACTAAACATACAAAATTAGCCAGGTGTGGTGGCGCATGGCTGTAATCCCAGCTACTGGGGAGGCTGAGGCAGGAGAATCGCTTGAACCTGGGAAGCGGAGGTTGTGGTGAACCGAGATCAAGCCACTGTACTCCAGCCTGGCAGCCTGGGCTATAGAGCAAGATTCCACCTCAAAAAAAAAAAAAAAAAAAAAAAAAAAAAAGAACAGGCTGGGCGCAGTGGCTCACACCTGTAATCCCAGCACTTTGGGAGGCAGAGGCGGGTGGATCACCAGGTCAGAAGATCGAGACTATCCTGGCTAACATGGTGAAACCCCATCTCTACTAAAAATACAAAAATTTTCCAGGTGTGGTGGCAGGCACCTGTAGTCCCAGCTACTTGGGAGGCTGAGGCAGAATGATGTGAACCCAAGAGGTGGAGCTTGCAGTGAGCCAAGATCACGCCACTGCACTTCAGCCTGGGCAAACAGAGCAAGACTCCGTCAAAAAAAAAAAAAAAAAGAAAGAAAGAAAAAGAAAATACATGACCTGATGTATAAAACTGGCAGGTTCCCCCGTGGCAGCATGTTACCTGTAGGAGAGATCTGAGCCTCAGCGGCCATTCAGTCCCCTGATTTATTCCCTTACCTCCCCTGCCTGAAAAATGATGAGAACACACTGATTCGGGCCCAAACTCGTGTTATATTATCGAGGTGGAAAAGAGCCATATGTATTAGGAGGGGAAACTGAGGCAGACCACAGGACGGGGCTCCAGAGGGAGGACAACAGGGCCCAGGACCCCTTCTGGAGGCTCAGAGATGCCAGTGTTCCAGGAGGTCTCACAGCATGAAAGGGGCCTGACTACATTCGCTTTTAGCAGTCGGAATGGCAGATGGTCAGGCAGTGGCTGGGATCACATTTATATCCTTCGAATCAGCATCCTGGGCCTCCCCCGGGGTGGGCAGGAGGGACCCGGTGTCATCTCCACGGAGGAGATCCAAGGGGCTGTGGAGAGAGAGGGGGAGGTCATCAGAATCTCTGAGGTGCTCTGGGTCTGACTAGCATCCCCCATTTCTGTGTGTGTCTCACACACACTCCCTCAGTCTCTAACCCCTTCCTTCTGGGCCTGTCTCCCCTTCTCCCAATTTTCCATCCCCCCTCTTTCTACATCTTTGCCTCCCTCCTCGGGGTCTCTGTCTCCCCCTTCCTCTGTCCCCTCTCTCTGTGCCTCTGTTCCCCCGTCTCTGGGTTTCTGTCTCCACTTCTCTCTGGTCTCTGTCCTCCTCTCTTTGGGTCTGTCCCCACACCAGGTCTCTCCTCCCAGGTCTGTGTGCCCCTCTCTTGGGGTCTCTGTCCCTCTCTCCAAGGCTCTTCCTCCCGCTGCCCACACCTGGCAGCCCACTCCTCATCCTTCTCCACAACAGAGCTCCTCCTACAGCCGCTGCCGTGAGTAGCAAGACACCGATGACGATTCCCACCACGAGCACCGAGGACTTGGCTGGAGTTTCTGCAGCCAGAGAACGCTGTGAGATGTGGAGCAGCCCGTCCACCCCCACCCAGTCAGGACACAGCACTGGGGGGGTCCCAGTCCCTCCCAGCCTCGGAGATCCCAGCACCAAGTGTCTGATGGACAGAGGCAAGGCCAGGCGGGCGATCTCGGCAGGGTGCCCCCAGGCTGGATGTAAGAACCAGCCACAGCACGAGCGGCCGCCGTGGTCACACTGGCAATGGACCAGCAGCGGCAGGGTGGGGCTGTCCCGGCGCAGCGGGGAGAGGCAGGCAGAGCAGTGGGAAGTCAGCCTCATGGGCCCCGGCAGTAGCAAGGCAGCAAGTGGTCAGTCTTGGTGAGGACGGGCATAGCAGACAACGAATGGTCAGATTCCAGGAAGACCTGCAGCTGCAGCAGCAGCAGGATGGAAGACGGTCAGACTCAGGGAGGACTGGCCATGGTGGTTAACAGCTCTTCAGACTCAGTGAGGCCAGAAGCAGCAGGACGGAAGGCAGTCGGCCTTGGGAAGGACAAGGCATCAGGCTTTGGGGGCACTGAAAGGCGCGAGGCACAAGGCAGTCAGATTCAAGGAGATGGCAGCAGCGGGGAGGAAGGTCAGACTCAGGAAGGACCGGCACAGCAGTGAGACAAGGCAACGGGAAACCAGGAGCATCACCACCGGGCGGGGCCTCACCCAGCTCCACCCTGAGGGGCTGCGCCAGCCCCGCGTGCTGCACGATGCAGCAGTAGTGGTGCTCATCGCCACTTTTGACTGTTAGTGACGACGAGGCGTGGAAGGAGCCGTCACTGTTGGGGCCGAAGTCGCCCTGTCCGGTGCCAGCGGCCATCCCATTCCGCAGGAACCGCAGTTGCAGTTCCGGAGGGTAGAAGGAGAAGGCGCTGCAGGTAAGCACGGAAAAGCCAGGGTTGCCGGGTCGGGCCTTCAGGCGCATGGAGGGGGGCTCTGCAGGAAACCAGGCAGACAGGTCTAAGCCCCGAGCCCACCACTCCCAGGGCCAGGGCTGGGTAATGACAGAAAGAGGCCTCCATGTTTGCAATGTGCTAACCCGGATAATGTGGTGGTAAAAGAGGAGGCGCTTCCCAGGTGACAGAGACTGAACCTATCCACCCTGAAGGTGTCCCCTCAAGATGTCACCTCCCTGGGCTGGGCATGGTGGCTCACGCCTGTAATCCCAACACTTTGGGAGGCCAAAGTGGGTGGATCACCTGGGGTCAGGAGTTTGAGACCAGACTGGCCAACGTGGTGAAACCCCATCTCTACTAAAAATACAAAAATTAGCTGGGCACCTGTAGTCCCAGCTACTCAGGAGGCTGAGGCAGGAGAATCGCTTGAACCTGGAAGGCAGAGGTTGCAGTGAGCTGGGATCGTGCCACTACACTCCAGCCTGAGTGACAGAGCGAGACCCCGTCTTGGGGAAAGGAAAAAAAAAAGATAGAGGATAATTATGAAAAATTCCATACTAACACATTTGAAAATTTAGATGAACTGAACACATTCTTGATAAATACAACCTTCTAAACTGACACAAGAGGAAATTTAAAATGTCAGCAGTCCTGTAAGTATTTTTTTTTTTTTTTTGAGACGGAGTCTCGCTCTGTCACCCAGGCTGGAGTGCAGTGGCCGGATCTCAGCTCACTGCAAGCTCCGCCTCCCGGGTTCACGCCATTCTCCGGCCTCAGCCTCCCGAGTAGCTGGGACTACAGGCGCCCGCCACCTCGCCTGGCTAGTTTTTTTTTTTTTGTATTTCTTAATAGAGACGGGGTTTCACCGTGTTAGCCAGGATGGTCTCGATCTCCTGACCTCGTGATCCGCCCGTCTCGGCCTCCCAAAGTGCTGGGATTACAGGCTTGAGCCACCGCGCCTGGCCCATTTTTTTTTTTTTTTGAGACGGAGTCTCGCTCTGTCGTCCAGGCTGGTGTGCAGTGGCAGGATCTCTGCTCACTGCAAGCTCCGCCTCCCAGGTTTAGGCCATTCTCCTGCTTCAGCCTCCCGAGTAGCTGCAACTACAGGCGCCTGTCACCACGCCGATAGTTTTTTGTATTTTTAGTAGAGATGGGGTTTCACCATCTTAGCCAGGATGTTGGTCTCAATCTCCTGACCTCGTGATCTGCCCGCCTCAGCCTCACAAAGTGCTGGGATTACAGGCATGAGCCACCACGCCCGGCCTTTTTTTTTTTTTTTTTTTCTAAGATAGAGTCTTGCTCTGTCACCCACGCATGATCTCAGCTCACTGCAACCCCCGCCTCCTGGGTTCAAGTGTTTCTTCTCTCTCAGTCTCCCGAGTAGCTGGGACTACAGGTGCACACACCACCACACCAGGTAATTTTGTTTTTAGTAGAGACAGGGTCTCACCATATTGGCCAAGCTGGTCTCAAATTCCTGACATTGTGATCTACCCACTTCAGCCTCTCAAAGTGTTGAGATTACAGGCGTGATGCACCGTGCCCGGCCTATTTGAAATGTTTAATCCGCCGGGCGCGGTGGCTCACGCCTGTAATCCCAGCACTTTGGGAGGCCGAGACGGGCGGATCACAAGGTCAGGAGATCGAGACCACGGTGAAACCCCGTCTCTACTAAAAATACAAAAAATTAGCCGGGCACGGTTGTGGGCTCCTGTAGTCCCGGCTACTCGGGAGGCTGAGGCAGGAGAATGGCATGAACCCGAGAGGCGGAGCTTGCAGTGAGCCGAGATCGCGCCACTGCACTCCAGCCTGGGCGACAGAGCGAGACTCCGTCTCAAAAAAAAATAAATAAATAAAATGTTTAATCCATAGTTTAAAACTTTCCGAAAACTGGCCGGGCGCGGTGGCTCAAGCCTGTAATCCCAGCACTTTGGGAGGCCGAGACGGGCGGATCACGAGGTCAGGAGTTCGAGACCATCCTGGCTAACACGGTGAAACTCCGTCTCTACTAAAAAAATACAAAAAACTAGCCAGGCGAGGTGGTGGGCACCTGTAGTCCCGGCTACTCGGGAGGCTGAGGCAGGAGAATGGCGTAAAAACCCGGGAGGCGGAGCTTGCAGTGAGCTGAGATCCGGCCACTGCACTCCACCCTGGGCGACATAGTGAGACTCCGTCTCAAAAAAAAAAAAAAAAAAAACTTTCCGAAAACTAAAATTCCAGGTCCGGAAGACATCAATTAGTGAATTCTTCCAATGTAGAAATGATTCTACTCCTACGCAAACTCTTCAGGCAATAAAACAGAGGAAACACTCTCCCAGCATATTTTATGAGGTCAGCATCATCTTGACAACAAAGGACATTATAAGAAAGAGAACTTAAGGCCAATGTCTCTCATAAAAATAGATTCAGGATGGGTGCAGTAGCTCACACCTGGAATCCCAGCATTTTGGGAGGCCAAGGTGGGCGGATCAGGAGGTCAGGAGATCAAGACCATCCTGGCTAACACAGTGAAACTCCATCTCTACTAAAAATACAAAAAAATGAGCCGGGTGTGGTGGCGGGCGCCTGTAGTACCAGCTACTCGGGAGGCTGAGGCAGGAGAATGGCGTGAACGCGGGAGTCGGAGCTTGCAGTAAGCCGAGATCACACCACTACTCTCCAGCCTGGGCGACAGAGTGCGACTCCATCTCAAAAAAGAAAAAAAAAAAAAAAAAGCTACATCAAATCAAGAGTGAGGTACTGACACTAAGTCCAATAATCAGCAGAATAGGAGAGGGTCAGAAGCAGATCCACACCTTACACACAAAACACACTCCCCTGCAGTCCAGTGAGGGAGAGGGGATGATGGTCTAGCAACAAATGATGCTGGCTGGACATATGAACCTCAACTCCTACCCTCATCATAACAGGCAATTAACTCAAAATCAATGGTATCACTAAATGTGGAAGCTATTCATCAACTAAGCTTCTAGAAGACATAGGTGAATACCTTTCTCGGAGGAAAGATTCCTTAAAGAGAATACACAACAAAGCTACAGAATCAAAGATAAAATTGAGCTTTATAAATTAAAATTTATAAACTTGGGGCCAGGCACAGTGGCTCACACCTGTAATCCCAGCACTTTGGGAGGCTGAGGCGGGTGGGTCACAAGGTGAGGAGTTCAAGACCAGCTTAGCCATATGGTGAAACCCCATCTCTACTAAAAATACATAAATTAGCTGGGCATGATGGCAGGCGCCTATAGTCCCAGTTACTCAGGAGGCTGAGACAGGAGAACCACTTGAACTCGGAATGCAAAGGTTGCAGTGGGCAGAGGTTGCACCATTGCATTCCAGCCCGGGCGACAGAGCAAGACTCCGTCTAAAAAAAAAAAAAGAAAAAGGCTGGGCGCGGTGGCTCACGCCTGTAATCCCAGCACTTTGGGAGGCCGAGGCGGGCGGATCACAAGGTCAGGAGATCGAGACCATCCTGGCTAACTCGGTGAAACCCCATCTCTACTAAAAATACAAAAAACTAACCGAGCGTGGTGGCTGGCGCCTGTAGTCCCAGCTACTCGGGAGGCTGAGGCAGGAGAATGGCGGGAACCCGGGAGGCGGAGCTTGCAGTGAGCAGAGGAGATGGCGCCACTTGCACTCCAGCCTGGGCGAGAGCGAGACTCCGTCTCAAAAAAACAAAAAAAAAAAAACCAAACAAAACAAACAAACAAAAAAAATTCATAAACTTTATAAAATGTATAAATTGAAATAGATAAACTGAACTTCACCAAAATTAAGAATTTTTGTTCATCCAAAGGTTTCGTTAAGGGAGTGAAAAAAGGTTGGGTGCAGTGGTCTCACGCCTGTAATCCCAGCACTTCGGGAAGCTGAGGCAGGAGGATCACTGGAAGCCAGGAGTTCAAGACCAGCCTGGGCGACATGGAGAAACCCGTCTCTGAAAAATTTTAAAAATTAACTACGTGTGGGGGTACACACCTGTGGCCCCATCCCTTCAGGGAGGCTGAGGTAGGAAGATCGCCTGAGCTTGGGAGGTTGAGGTTGCAGTGAACTCTAATCCCGCTACTGCACTCCAGTCTAGGCAACAGTGCAAGTGCCTGTCTCAAAGAAAAAAAAAAAAAAAAAGCGGGTGCGGTGGCTCATACCTGCAATCCCAGCACCTTGGGAAGTCAAGGCAGAAAGATCCCTTATGCCCAGGATTTCTATTTTTTGGTTTTTTTTTTGAGATGAAATCTCTGTCTGTTGCCCAGGCTGGAGTGCAGTGGCACGATCTTGGCTCACTGCAACCTCTGCCTCCTGGGTTTAAGCAATTCTCCTGCCTCAGCCTACCAAGTAGCTGGGATTACAGGCGCCCACCACCACACCCGGCTAATTTTTGTATTTTTAGTAGAGACAGGGTTTCACCATATTGGCCAGGCTGGTCTTGAACTCCTGACCTTGTGATCCGCCTGCCTCAGCCTCCCAAAGTGCTGGGATTATAGGCATGAGCCACCAGGCCCGGCCAAACCCAAGACTGCTAGGCCAGCCTGGGCAACAAAGTAATACCCCATCTCTACAAAAAAATAGAAAATGTTAGCCAGGCATGGTGGCGTGTGCCTGTAGTCCTGCTACTTGGAAGGCTGAGGCGGGAGGACTGCTTAAGCTTGGGAGTCCAAGGCTACATGGAGCTATGACAATGTCACTGCACCCACTTCAGTCTGGGTGACAGAGCAAGATCCCAGCTAAAAAAAGAAAAAAAAAAAAAAAAAAAAAGGCAAAGATTTCAGCAACTGCCTAGGGCTGGGCATTACTGCCCAAGTTCCCTTCGGGGAGGGTAGATCTGGACAATCGTGGGTCTTGGCTGGGATCGTGGTTTTGGTTGCTCAGCAGAAAACATTTGCTGCTTGAGGAAAGCCTAGCAGCTTCTCTCTCCTGGAGCTGCCTCTCTGGCAAGTTGGCAGAATTTGCTGCACAGTCAAGTGGAAGGGAGGGCCAGGCTGACCGCCATCAGCAGTTCTGGCTTCTGCTTTATGTTTACTATTCTTTTCAGCAAATCTGTATCTTCCT